GAATAAAATATATAGGGACTAGCACTACAGGTCATAAAAATTGGCTAAGTGAGGATTGAGCCATCTCTCTATTGCTAGTAAATGCTGCTAGTAAATGCAGAAGTGAGGCACCCACAGGCATAACTATGCTATAAAGATAAAGTAATTTGGGGAGGGGGGACAGAGTACTCCTTTGATGGGTATGCAAACTTGCATTCTCACTTAAGAACTGGAAAATTGAGATCATTATGATTTGCTATCCATCAAGGCTTCCTACTCAGAAGAACACAATTTTAAAAGGAATGCATTTATTCCATCTCAGATTTTTGGTGTGCCTTTTTTCCCCTTAAAGCATAACGAGCTTGTCAGTTTCCATGGTGAACATGGAGCACCATGGAAACTGATAGATTTAGCTACACAAAAAGAATAAATAAAATAGGCAGGCATTTACTTCCCTGTGCAACGACAACTTTTTCCTGGATAGGAGAGGAAAGCGGCTTCTCATTTAACCCTCCTGCCCTTTATTCTCTGCGCCTCCGAAAACACGCGTTATTTTCACTGGGTCATTTCACTAACCTATGCTGATTGGGTTGCTTATCTCCTCGAGGTCCTACTGTTATTCCTACTTTGGTTTTACTTCAGGGTGGGCCGGTGTGTCACTGACAATGGTTGGAAAACCCTGTACAATGTGGAAGTTGTAGATGACAACTCACAATGACCAAGTGAGTCATGGAAAAACTGAATGTAAAATTCTTCGCTGTCTATTAGGGGGAGACAATGTGTGAGGATAACTGCAGTCAAGGCCCAGGTCCATCTGCACTAAGTAGATAGGCAAGCCAAAGCCCCTGAACCTCAGTTTCCCCATCTCTGAAATGATTAAAGTACACCCTCTTCCTACTTTATAGGGTTGTTGTGTGGCTCAAAATGAGATAGAAGAAGAGAAAGCCTTTTAAAACAGGTCAAATTCTATCTAGCAGGAGAGTTTGATCAGCTGCTGGTATAATTACACCAATAAGGTGACCTGAATGTCAAAACTGATTATGCTATGATCCTGTCCTTTGCCTCAGGCAATTAGAGTTTCAGAATATATTTGACCCACCTAGTAGTTGGGGAATTTTGAGACCATTGTTTCCATTGGGGATGAATGTGGTCTTAAGAAATGAAGCTTTTCAACTTTTCGGTATGTTTGAAATTTTTCATAATAAAATGTTGAAAGACTAAATCAAGAAAATAAAGCTCTTTCTTTTTTAAAAATATAGTTTTATTGATTTTTAGAGAGAGGGAGAAACTGCCTCCTGCACGCCCCCTACTGGGGATGGAACCCACAACCTAGGCATGTGCCCTGATAGGGAATGGAGCTGCTGACCTTCTTGGGACTTTGGTCAACCAACCAAGCCACCCTGGCCCAGGGCTAAAGCTCTTTCTTAAATTCTAGTCCCAATAAAAATCTCACCATTAACACACTTACTATAGCCCTTTATTTTTTTAAGCACTAAACTATAGGCAATAGAGCCATCTCTTGAAATTCAGCATTTATATAAATCTCTTGAGCAGCTTCTCTTGGCCAGGCACTGTGTTAGGGGATACAGAGAAAGAAAGGGGGAAGAAAGAGAGAGCTTGGTCTTTTAGGCGACCACAATCTTCTGGGGAGATAGACTAATAAAGGAGAAGCACCTAACACCAGAGAGAGAGGGAGCATAAAGATTTCCTGGAGGGGGTTAAGAGTGAGCAATTAAGCTGAAGGATTTGATCAGGGGAAAGTAGGTAGTAAAATGAGGCCAGCACCATGGAAGGCAGAGAGATCACGAGCCAAGCAGATGCAACGTGTGTGGGAGAGGAGGAGGAAGAGCCGGAAGAAGCAGCCATATGAAGGAGAGTCTCTTTTCTTTGGAAGTGAAATGTGGGGGTTGGACCCTGAAAGTGCACACCATTGGTGGCTTTCCTTTTGAGGAACTGAGTAGGTGGGGGTTGAAAGGAGCCATTGCTGACAGGGAATGATAATACTAGAGAATAGCAGTGAAATGCACATTAAATAATAATTTGTAAGACTCTCAGTCCTAATATTGCATGGATTTAAACATGGGCTGTAGAAAGAACTGGAGAATAGAAACTGCCATTCCTTGAGACTTTGGAGGCACAATAAATGCCATTTGTTGCATACTTTGCCCTGTCGGGTAACCACACTAACCAGAAGCTGGCTTGCCACGTGCTTGGGCTATGTTTCAAAGGTGACTATAAAAGCTCTGCAACTCCTTTCCCCTCTAAACCTCAGTGACCTTGAGGACATTTCCCTGGGGAGACCAGGATGGGCTTCACAATTGCAGGAGGACCAACAATTTAAAGGAGTGTCTGAATCTTAGGGTGGAGGAGGGATGAGAGTTGTCCAGATTTTCTGATGTGTGGCTGAGCTGAGCGTGCTGGATGCTGAGCAAGGGGTCTACAACTGGGCTGTGAATGGGAGCAGAGCTGTGCACTTACCTGAGGAACACAAACGCCATGTCACCGGGAGGCCTGTGGCCATTCCTTCTGTGTAAGATGAACTTCGTTTAAATCTACACTGTAATTACTCATACCATGAGCCACAGACAACAATAGCAGTAAACATCAAAACAAAACGCCCTAGCAATTCCATTAGCCCAATAAGACCATAGCCACTGTTCGCTATACTTTTTCAAGTATATGCCTATAGGTGTTTCATGATTTGAACCAAGCATAAATACCTTTTTAAAAAAACTTAAAATTTTATTACATATAATTCCCAGATGCCTACATATTTGCCCTAATTGTTTTTAATAACTGCATAATATCCTACTGAGCAAATATATTCAAATTCACTAGTCTCAATTGTTGGATATTGAGATGGCTTTCATTAGAAATATACTAGCTGTATCTGTTTTAGGAGACCCACACATCTATTAGGAGCATTTAACTGATTTCTGTTTTTTACAATAATAGCCAGACACTTTCTTCACTTTTCCTTCTGAGGTTTGTGTGTATACAGGCCTAGATCAAGAGGATGTTTTCGGTGTTCTGGCTGTTGGGACTGCCAGGAGGGAGCGTGGTCTCCAGGATCAGGAGAAAGTGACAGGGAGAGAGGGCTAATGTCTCCACAAGGCAAGATTCAGGGCTTCCCAATCTGAGTCTTTGGCAGGGAGACCAACCTCCTTGGTGGACTCGGGACTGAGGAGTTTTCTGGGTTTCAAGACTTTCTGTTCTAAAACCAGGAAAGTCTCCCATAACTGGGATGAGGTGGTCACCCTAGACATTAGGGGGAATGAAGGAACTGAGAAAATAATAAATCATTCATATAAGCTAGCCCTGCATTATAAAAGCAGCAATTCAGGGAAAGCCTGCTCGTACATGGCAATGGGACATTCATTCTTTATGTCATCACCAAAACTGGATACTTATCTCAGGTTATTGTTCTGCTCCCAGGAAAACCATTTCTTCCTTTATTCAATAAATATGTATGCGACACCAGGCACTGTTCTAGGCACAAGACCCCTATTCTAGTGGTATTTCCATTACTGTGTGTGTATATTGGGAGAAGGGAAGCAGAAATAAATAGATAAAAAACATAAAATACATGATGGTGGATATAATCAATGCAATGGCAGATGTAGGATGCATTATGGAATAGAAATTTCAGGGGCAGGGGTTTGCTACTAGCTTGGTGGTGCGGGGGAAGGTTAAGAGCTGACAATTGAAGTAAACCAGTAACAGGAAGAGCTGGCCATGTGCAGACCCACAGGAGGCCTGAGGGGCAGGGGGAGCAGCAGGTGCAAAGGCCCTGAGGAGAACCCAGCTGGTTTTCTGGGAGGAACTTAGTGAGGAGCTGTGTGGGTGTCATGTGGGCAAGGAATATGGACCTAGAAGCAGTCTTTGCAGCACCCAATCCAAGTTCCATTTTCACAAAGGACGGTGATAAGGATGCTGAGGCCCACCTCGTGGACCATAGTCTCCCGATTCCTAACCCAGCACTTTTCCCACCATGCCATGTCACACTGCCAATCCTAGCTAGTTGGCTAGAGTATTTATTTTCTCCCCTTTGTACAACTGCAAATAAATCAAAGAGATTGATTTAGGTGTGAGAAAATTTAGAATTGTAATTGTCTGTGAATGGGCAGAAGGATCAACATATTGGCCTCAAAGTGAAGAGAGGTACTTTGGGGTCCAGATTAACCTCCAGCGGCGGGAGGGGGCGGGGGGCGCTCCTAGCAATTCTGTACAGTGATGGCGAACCTATGACATGCGTGTCAGAGGTGACACGCGAACTCATTTTTTTGGTTGATTTTTCTTTGTTAAATGGCACTTAAATATATAAAATAAATATCAAAAATAGAAGTCTTTGTTTTACTATGGTTGCAAATATCAAAAAATTTCTATATGTGACACAGCACCAGAATTAAGTTAGGGTTTTTCAAAATGCTGACACGCCAAGCTCAAAGGGTTCGCCATCACTGCTAGAATATGCTTCCAGACCATTAGGACAAATCTGCCGCTGGCAGAAGCTGAAAATGAAACTTGTCTGTAAGGTTGGCTGCTCTAACCGACCTTTCATCCGTGTCTGAACTTGTGCCAGGTCAGAGTGTGTGGGTGTGACAGGTCGAAGAGTCCAAGGTTTGGCCACAAACAGCCCTAGGAGCCTAAAGGAGCGAGAAAACAGGCAGGTACAACTCCAGGTGTGCCAACTAAAGGAAGGTGGAGAGGGTTGGGGGACAGAGAGCAAAAGCACCTTTAGTGACCAATTCGAGGTCCGGGGCTGGAATCCCGACTCCCCCAGCTCCTTCCTTCATCTCCTGCCCCCTGGGTGGGTGACAGCCACCACGGATCCAAAGAACTGCAGCGTGAGCCGTGATTTTGGAAACTCAAAGAGTTAATACATCAAAAACGAACGCGGTGGAGGAGGGAAAGACCACACCCACGGAGTGGAGCAGGGAGCCAACTCCAGGCAGGAACATCCCATTGGTATAGAAAAGACAGGGAGCCACCCCTGGGCGCGGCCTGCAGGGGGCAGGTGATTTCCAGAAAAGCAGGGGCAGGAGAAGCAGGAGCCGGTGCGGGTTCAGCAGCCGTCCACAGCCGCGGGAGCCTCGCTGCGCCTCCGCCTGGTGCGCCCCTCTCGGCCCGCTGCGCTCTGCCACTGACATGTGTGCCGCCGGGATGCCGCTCCTGTCGCACATCTTCCGAGGGACGTTCGTCCACTCCACCTGGACCTGCCCCATGGAGGTGCTGCGGGATCACCTCCTGGGAGTGAGCGACAGCGGCAAAGTAAGAGGGCGCGGGGTCTGGCGCAGCCCACGGGCGGGCGGGTGGAAGGAGTGGCGCCCGGTGCCCTGCGAGCCCAGAGCTCGCGAGTGCCAGCTCCGGAGTAGAACTCGAGGGCTTGGCTGCGGGGGAAGCCGGAAGACTCCTGGCGGGCCCGTGAGGAGCGTGTTCCTAGAAGCCAAACAGGTGTCCCAGAAGCCGGGAGCCCTTGGGCGACAGCCGTCCAGGTTGTCGAGGAAGGGAAGCGAGGCTGTGCCCTCGCAAATCCTGAGAGATTGCTACTAGACTAGAACCTTGTCTATCAGGTGCCTGGCTTAGGCTAGGCGCTTTGTAAATGTCTCATGAAAGGAATAACAGAGGAGGGGAAATTTGATCAGTGTTCTTAGTCCTCTCAGTGCATAGAATCAGCAAAGTACTAATTTCATTCATGTGATCATTCAACAGACAGTATGCTTACTAATGACTCAAACTAAACTTGGAATCCTAAAAGGAGAGTCTGCAGAAATTATCCACCCCACTCCCCCAACACACACCCAGAGCCATTTGCATCACAGCAAGCAGTTCCATTTTAAGGTGCAAAATGTCTCCTACCCGTGTATCTTCCACACTTCCTTTTCCAAAGTCAGGTTTCTACAAACAACAAGGGGAACTCGATGTCTGCTATTTACTGTTCCATATGCATCGGTGCTCACTGTAGTGGCGTGGCCAGTTTGATAAGTGAAAGGCATTCCATTTGTTTAGAAGGAAAAAACTAAGATGGGGATGGGATATTTTTAAGCTTTCCCCCACCAGTTTGTTTAGCAAAAGTACAGGTATTGTGACTTGTCAGCTTGAAGATGCTATTCCTGACTTAAAATTCTTCCGAGTCAGTGAGAGTTTTAAATAATGACTCTTACATTTGGGGATAACTAGACCTTGTTTTCTTATGGCGCTTAAAAAAAAATATTCTCTGTGCGTATTCAGGGAGCCTGCTCTGGTATTTCCAAGGTGATTGAACTCTCAGAGCTGCTCCAAATGGGGAGATTCCCATAAACCCCCAGACTGATGCACTATATTGCCTTGAGTACTTTACCCCCAAAGTTTCAGGGAACTCTTAGGCTCAAGGAAAGTCCCAGGAAGCCAATGAACAGAGACTGCTAAGCTGGGGAAAGGCCAGAGGAGTTTGCCTAACCACAAGGAGCTGTTCAACTCTTAGGGTTCTTTTTTTTAAATTAATTTCCCGTATCCTGAATTTTAATTGGTAGGGTAGCAGGCAACAGAGTGAGTTTGAGGACTGGGTTTAACCAGTGGAGAGGAATAAGAAAAGGAAGTAATTTATCTAAAAAAAAGTTACCTTTGCTAGGTGTTGTACAGAAGAAGAATCAAAGAGAGTCTCAAACATGCAATTAGTAGTTCAGTCAGGAAGTCTATCCTAACTAGGGGACATACTGAAGTAATAAATTTAGAAAAATGCCATTTCCCCACAAGATAACATTAATTAGGAGTTGAATGCAAAGGTGAGTTCATTAAGTGGCTTCCATTTGTGGTGTAAAATGCCCCCATCACTGAATTGGTAACTGTTGACAGCTCTGCTCCGAAGTACAAAGCAGTTGATTTCTGACTGCATACAGGGATAATGTGCCATCGATATGTCAAGACTTGATTTCCCTCATTTTCAAAGTGCGAATGCCTCTCCTTTAGAGCTGCTGGGATATTATCTTATTTACTTAAAAATTATATCTCCATGAAATAAATCTGAGGAATCATCACGGTCTTTGCATTTTTACTGAGCTCTGAGAGCTGTTCTCACACCGTGGGATGAATCAGAGCCATTGAGGGGTGCTTGCGACAGTGCTGGGTCCTGGGCATCATCCTCTGAGAAGGTGAATCTGTAGGCCTGGAGGGGGCCCCAGGAAGTGGCATTCCAACAACAGGCCCTGGAGGTTCCAACCCAGGTCATGGGTGGATTACATGTTGGGTAACCACAGTAAGTAGGTTGTGTGATAGAATCAGTTGTGTCGGGTCTTGGGAGCTTAGTTCTCCACTTTGAGCTCAGTTCTGGGGTAGCATCTCAGAGAGAGGGGACATGATTTCCTCTGACCCACTCTCTCTCCCTTCTAGACCTCATCCCTTATTTCATATAAATTCATTTTGGCTCAGAGAATGGCAATGACTCACTACTTTTAGTGTGTTAATTAAAGCTCATTCAAAATTAGGTTAATTAAAATTAATTCTCTAGTCAATATTTTAGTATGGGGCATTTTGAATTCAGAGTTAGTTTTTCTACTCAAGTGACATGTAGCTTTTCAAAAGAAAGACCCAGCCTGTATAATTCATTTGCAGATATTTAATTAATCGTGAGACACTGTGTGCTCACATATTACTAAACTGCCTGATTCCACATGCAGCAGGGTCAGGTTGACTTCAAAGACACATAAAGATGCTTTTGGTCTTTTAAAATATTTTTATTGATTTCATAGAGGAAGGGAGAGGGAGAGAGAGATAGAAACATCAATGATGAGAGAGAATCATTGATTGGCTGCCTCCTGCACTCCCCACACTGGGGCTCAAGCCTGCAATCTGGGCATGTGCCCCAACAGGGAATGGAACTGTGACCTCCTGGTTCATAGATTGACACTCAGCCACTGAGCCACACCTGCCAGGGAAGCTTTTTGGCCTTTTAATGAAAACTTACATGTAGGCAAGAGCAAGAAAGAGAATCATTTGGAGGTAATGTCCTGGGGTAGCAGGAGAAAGTTCTGTGGAGAAACAGAGACCTGGGTTCAAGTTCGGTCTTTACCGTTTACCTGCTCACTTACAACCTATGTGAATTTGATCAAATTATTAACAATTTATTTCTAAGTAATCTTATGTATAAAATATTACTATAGTCTACCTCATAGGGTCGTTGAGAAGATTAAATGAGTTAATAGTTGTAAAGTACATAGATTAATGCCTTGCATTATAGCCCATGCCCAATAAACACCAGCAGTTATTATCAGCAATTTAGATGGAGATAAGTGGTAGCTATTTATGTCAAGTCACCTGGATTTGATGATAGGGTTGGAAAGATATTTGTGAATGTCTTCAATTGTGTGGTGGGATACAGATTGGCCAGTGATAGAAAAAGCTTGATGAAGGAAGCCAAAATTGAGCTGGACATTAAGAACACACAGGACTTGGACATGCAGAAAAGGGTTAAATGGCTCTGGTGAAGGGAATGAGGAAATGTTCTTTGTTTCCTGAAGCTGTTGGGAGGACCAAGAGTTGTATTTCACCTGACAATGCATCACCATCTTGCTTTGCCAGTTCTCACAGTGAAAATCACACATCATAGTGGTTCTGAATCATCCTCTCCTTCTGCTTTGGCAAGTGAAGACCCATCTTCCTTGCCAAGCTCAGAACCCAGAGTATGCTGTGAATTTGAAGAGGGAATTTGGGCTAAGCCCTCCCTTCTGAAACTGCCAAATCAGAGCTTTGCTGTCATTAGAAACGTGTTCATGCCCAAATATCATGTTATTATCTTGTAAATTCCTACTTTCCGGAAGGCAGATTGTTTTGTTTAAAATGCTCATGGCAGGAACTGTTGGTTACCCCTTCAATAGCTATAACCCCTGCTTCCTTATTAGCGTGTCTGACTTTGATCTGCTTGTAATACACAGATACATTATGGGGTAAGCCAGTCTTGGTCATCATAATCTCGTTTGCCCGATACTTCTTTTCCCAGCTTCTTGGTCGCTCAGGGTGGCCAGGAAGACATTCTGACATGAAGGAAGCTGGCTCAAGGCTTCTGGTAAATATTTCTCTCCCTAATCAGTGGATACAGATGTGGGAAGATAACTCCTTTCTCTCTTTTTTTTTTATTATTGGTGGGAAAGTCAGTTATACCTCAACATTTTCTTACTCAGCAATTTTACTTTATGATTACTTCCTGGGTCAAACTATTTTATATTCCCACTCCTGGCTGAGCAGCTGGAGTGAAAAAAAAATGTTGTCTTGGGACACTCATATCTTTGTCATATATAGACTTCATCACAAAGATAAATATATAGGCAACCAATCTAGGAAGTTAGAAAGGACATTAGAAAATCCTATCTAATAAAAGAGAAACATGGTAATTAGCCGTACATCTGCTACCCTTCCCATTGGCTAATCAGGGCGATATGCAAATTAACTGCCAGCCAAGATGGTGGACGGCAGCCAGGCAGCTTGAAGCGAACATGAGGCTTGCTTGCTTCAGTGACGGAGGACTCCAATGTTCCCTGCCTGCCTTGCCAGCCTCTGAGCTTGCAATTTGAAACATTGTTGCAAATATAGAATCTAAACAAACTCCAGAAACCTGCTTTCAGCCAGCCGGGATCTCAGAGCTGGAGTTGAAACAGTGTTTGCATTATAGAAACCAAACAAACCGGATACCTGCTTTCAGCAGTGGAGGCTTTAGAGCTGGAGCCAAGCCTCAGAGCTAAAGCTGGCCCAGGATAAAAGAAAAAAAGGAGCGGTTGGGAGCTTCAGTCACCCGCCAGCCTGAAAACAGCCCTCAGCCCCTCACCCAGACTGGCCAGGCACCCCAATGGGGAGCCCCATACTGAAGGGTGTGTGACCAGCTGCAAACAGCCCTCAGCCCCTCATCCAGGCTGGCCAGGCACCCCAGTGGGGACCCCCACCCTGATCCAGGACACCCTTCAGGGCAAACCAGCCGGCCCCCAACCGTGCACTAGGCCTCTATCCTATATAGTAAAAGGGTAATATGCCTCCCAGCACCGGGATCAGCGGAGCAGTGAGGCCTCCCGGCACCGGGATCAGCGTGACAGGGGGCAGCGCCCAAACCCCCTGATCGCCCTGCGGCTCTGTGTGTGACAGGGGGCGGGGCCACAACCTCCCTATCCGCCCTGCTCTGTTCGTGACAGGGGAAGGTGCCCCAACCCCCTGATCAGCCCTGCTCTGTGCCTGATAGGGGGGAGCTCCCCAACCCCTGATCGTCCTGTGGTTCTGTGTGTGATAGGGTGCAGCGCCCCAACCCCCCC